GCGGCTTATCGTGTGTTCCTTGCGCAAGCGCACATCCGCTTCCTGATGTCTTGTTCGCATTTCCGGCCTTCTTCTGCGCCGGGCGGATACAAATGTTCGTGTTTACCGAGGGAGGTGGAAGAGAAGTCCTTTCGAAACAGCCAGCCACTTCTCGTGAACACCGACTTGAGTTTAGTTACCACTCTGCTTCATAGGCCTGGAAGCTTTCCGCAGTGTTGCTGAGAAGGGGCCCAGAGGCATGGGCACATCTGGCGTGCTTCACAGAAATCTGCTGTGTTCCCCGCGATCTAATGTTGCACTGTGCATACGGAGTGGATCCTTCGGTGCACACACGCACTCATGGCGTCCTCAGCCGTTTCATTTCAATTTTATCCATCTACTGTTAGGTCCTCCAAGTTGTCTGTTCTCTTTACGACATCCAGTCAGAATTTGGTACCCATTTGAGTTATTCAATGCCTGCTACATCCCCACGCGATCTCGTCCGTGAGTTGATAATGCCAAACAACAAACACGCTTTCAAAGGCGTTGAACCTGTACGTGATTTGGTTTCCTTGTCGGCTGAACGAGGCTCAAACTCACGCCTGTGGCTACAAGAATGTACCAAGCCCTTTATCACACAGCAGTGCACACAGAGGCGCCGTGAAGTCTCCGATCAACCCCCCCCCCATCTGTCCCGTGGCAGGATCCCGTCCTGCTCATACTGCCAACACTCGCTCCTTATTGCTCTCACTGGGCATGTAGAATGCAACCTACACACAGACCAGCTCTCTTCGCCGAGGTTCTGCTTGTCTTTCCTCAGTCCCTCCATGCATATGGCGGGAAGGTGAGTAACATTAGTCAGAACTACTTCCTTCCACATTCATTCCCGTTCATTATTCTCTGTCTTCTTATAATTGACGCCACGTAATAGGAACTACAGACTTGTAAGAATAATAAACTCGGTGGAGCTGATTCCTTGAGCCGCCGCTGTTGTCTCAGCTTATCGAAGAATTGATCGACTTTTATGGAACCAGAAAGTTCATTTCTCTGTTCCCTGCCCGAGCCGGAACTTTCGCTTCAGAATTGCGCAGTTTTCGAACGGCCAGCAGCACAAATCTTGTAGGCCTGGTGGATGTACAGGTGGCCTCTACCCCGTCAGCTCATTTTGAGGGCTGTCTTAATGAAGGACTCTAAATTATGTGATCCTTCGTTATGTATGAGCGTATTTGTGACGCCCAGACGTCATGCAACATGGTCGCCATATGTACCACCTGCTTTAGCATGCAGACACCCTGCAGTCTGCCCACACAGTGTTGTGTTCCGTATGGTTCTCACAATAAACAGCGACTGTTTCCCTAAACAGCATTAACCGGTTGGTCTCTGTAGCGGAGACGTAATGTGTTTCCTGTGAGGTACGGACCGAGTGCTTATTATTCATACGCGCTTCAGGCTTCGAAGGGTTAATGCACCGCATCAGAGCTGCTGCAGCACGCACGGACCAAGCGGAAGGAATGTGAACGCGGCCGGTATTGCAGAGTGCAAAGCTCTCGTGTTTACACAAACTGAAACGTGCGCTATAAGTCAGGTCCATTCGTGTCCCCAAGTTCCCTCTACTAAACGCACCTGGACGGCGCCGACGGTGGCCTAAATACAGACTTACTCCATTTATCAGAGTCCTTCGTGACAAGCAGATAGTTGGTCAGATATTAAAGAAATTCCACGTCTTTCATGGAACCTGAAAATTCAGTACCGTGTTCACAAGACGCTATCCTGGGTAAGACGAATCCAATCCATGCCCTGTTTCAGCGTCCTCCTCCGTCTATTCCTTGGTCTCCCGGGGAGGCTCATTGTTTCCAGTTTTCCGACTGCATGCTATATGCAGTTCTCGCACATCCCATGCGTGCAGCAGGCCTCGCCCATTTCAACCTCCTAACGCTGGCGCAGTGGTGTCGCCGCCATCTTCAGGGTAGGAATGTGAAGGAATGGCGCTCAGACCGGAGCTTTGTATGCATTTTCCACAAGACAGTAATCTCGACCATGTCTCTCTGCACGTTGCAGTTGATATAAAGTCGTGAAGAGAGGGGAGGCGGGTTAGTGTCGGCAGGGACAAGGAAGACGCAGTTGATGGACGCCTGTTTCAGTGTCTGCTTTTACTTGCGTTTATCGTCGCTTGGACGTCGCCGTTCTGGTCCAGCAGACTGTACGGTGTTGCAGTGGTCACATTATGGCTTCGGTCTGTCTCTTGGCTGAAGAAATACCCGTTCTTCGCCCGGGATATGGTTGATTTCCTTGTCGGAATCACGATGTACAGTGCCTGCCACTCTGAAGATTGAATAACACTCAAATTTAGAAATGTTTTAGGTTTGAGGTTCTCACAGCGGTGCGTATTATATTGTAGGTGCTTACAGCAGTTCGCTGAAAGTCCGCCGACGTTTCGGATGACCATATCCCCTCTTTCAGCGTTACAGCCCAGAATTATAACACTTTTCTTAATTTAAAGTTTACTTATATAATTAAAAATGATATTCTGCATGGGGTTTCCAGTCACACCCAAAAACTCTGCCGCAACACATACACATCGCTTAACAGCCGTGGCTGCCGTACATATTGGCAAAAGTCGGAGGTAGATTTCAGAGTGTCTTTGAGTGTTCTCCATTAGGTCCGTCACAAGAGATAGGAAAGTCTCCGAACAGGATGCAGGCAACAAAATAACATTACTTGCATCTTAGACATGCAAAAACGCCGGGAAGCTGTTCGTGTTGGACCTAGTACTGACAGTTTCAGCTTCACTGCACTCAGTTGTATGTTAGGCTGCTGACCATTTCCTTTACAAACAGCGATGTTAAATAACCGTTATAATCCTAGTTTAGTTTTAACCTTCTCTGCTTTGACACCGTGCTGTCTAGCACATGCGTACGTACCTACTTTCGGAAGAACATAGTGCCCTCCATTTTTATTCTAGATTTTCTGTTCTACTGCCAGAGAGCAGGCGTGTAGCAGTATGAAATGTCGAACCTATGAAACAGGACGAATTGATTTCATGGATGTTGGCACGTGTGCACCTTTTCTGCCGCAGATCGAATTGATATTGGCACGGTGAGAGTTGGTGTAAAGGAAACATTTCGAAGATTAGAACGAGTAATGTTAAATTGTCTCTCAGGTTTTTAGAGAAGGGAGCTAGATGACACCCTTTAAATCACATTGGTAACTATATGTACCACATGCCTTAGCATTGAGAGACCCCGCATTCTGCCCAACACAGTGTATTAGTGTGTTCCGTATGGTTCTCACAATAAACAACGACTGTTTCCCTAAACAGCATTAACCGGTTGGCCTCTGTTGTAGCGGAGACGTAATGTGTGTCCTGTGAGGTGTACTCCTTCTGCCCTGGAAACACGGGTGCATCACCATCACATAGTGACGTGGAAAAGTAAACCATGATTGTGCCTACAACGCTCTTCGGTATTCATGAGCCGGAAGGAAGTTGGCTTTGTGCCTTCACAAAGTGCTACGTACTTTAGTTAAGCTTGGGGACACATGGGCGGCATGCTTCTGAGTAAATGATACGCTTACCCAAGACAAGAGATCCCAGAGCTGCGTGTAGTTAAATGAGGCACTCATTCCCTGCCACTGTCGTGTTCACTCGTTATGAATGAGATGCTAATGGCATGTGCGAAGCTGCTTGAGATGACAAAGACACCAACTGGAGCCATTCATCTGCACCTGTGTTTAGTCCCTCAGGCACCAGTGTCTCAAGTGTGGGCGAGAGGCTGATCAGTGGCGTGCAGCTTCAGTTGGGTCAGTAACCTCGATGTTGTTCCTTCCCAGGGATCTTGTGTTCTTCGATTTACATCGATAATGGTAGTTCTGGATTAGATTTCCAGTTATCCTGTCTGAATTTTATAGCTGTTTGTTATTGTTGTTGTTGTTATTATTATTATTATTATTATTATTATTATTATTATTACTATTACTTACTTACTCACTCACGGAGCTGAGCCCTTCTGGAGGAGCCGCCAATTCTGCAGCAACTCCAGAATTTCCTAGCATTTTATGGAACCCGAAGGTTCATTACCGTGTTCACAAGAGCCCCTCCACTGGTCCTTATCCCGAGCCAGATCAATCCAATCCATACTATCCCATCCTATATCTCTAAGATCCATTCTAATATTGTCCACCCACCTACGCCTTGGTGTTCCCTGTGATCTCTTTCCTTCTGGCTTTCCCACCAATGTCCTATATGCATTCCTCGTATCTCCCATTCGTGCTACATGGCCTGCCCACCTCATTCTCCTTGACTTGATAATTCTAATTGTACTTGGAGAAGAGTACAAGTTATGAAGCTCCTCATTATTATTATTACATTGATACCTGTTATTGACGGAGCCGGTTGGCATAGCGGTAACGCCACAGACTCGAATTCCGGAGGTGCTCCAGATATTCACTGTCATCCGGGGCTGATATAGTGGGGTGTGGGTTACTCTCACCCCCATCACGTAGCTCGTGGTATGACAGGAAATTAGACATGCTCAGCCTCTAATGCACACAAGCGTTTGGTTATCGACAAGAAACGTGTGTCGTGTTGTACGCTTAGAAGGCTGAAGGTCCTCCGAACAATATATAAGAATTCAGTTCGTACCTCACAGGTAACACATTTCGTCTCCGTTACAGAGACCAGCCGGTTAATGCTGTTTAGGGAAACAGTCGCTGTTTATTGTGAGAATCATACGGAACACACAAATACGCTGTGTGGACAGAATGCAGAGACTTTACATGTAAGAATTCAGTGCGTACCTCACAGGAAACACATTACGTCTCCACTACAGAGACCAACCGGTTAATGCTGTTTGGCGAAACAGTAGCTGTTTATTGTGAGAATCATGCGGAACACACAAATACACTTTGGGCAGAATGCATGGTCTTGTAATGGGAAGCATACCGTACATATAGTTACCGCTGTGCTTGAGAAGCCCTGCAGAGGCTGAGAGAGAGATGTAACGTGCCGTCCTTGTGTGCTGCAGGAGATGTGGAGGACTGCTTAGTCCAGCCACTGCCCCAGGGGCAGTTCACTCCGCTACCTGAAGCCCTGTGTTGGGTAATCCTGGACTTGACGTCATCGGGGCAGGCCGCAGTTCTCGAGCGGATCCGATCCGCGCTCCAAGTGGCCTTCCCCGACATACAACGGCCGTCTCAGGAAATCGTGTACGACGCACTGGCGAAACTTACGACCGAAAGGAAGGTAAGTAAAAACTGTTGTTGCCCTCCCACTTCCCTGACGCCATTACCGACAGCTCTTCTAGAGCCCTTAGGGAAGACATTAGAGGTGAAGTTTTCCCTGTACTGAATGAAACCTATGGGGGAGTTGGACCTCGGCACTCGATGGAGGTGAGTGGCCAGCTTTACCCCTAGCGAAACATCCTCTGGTGCACATTGGATAGGAGGTTGGGTGTGGGCCCCAGAGCCTGTTTGGGCGATGTGAATAAGAGAAACATATCTTGCCCCTTGCGAGACTCAAAACTCGATTCCTCGGTCGTCCAACCCTTTGCGCGTCCCTGTACCAACTGAGTCACGGTTACTATTTCTTTGCCTGCTACACAGCCTCCGTTTCGTACTACATGCACATCCTTTCACAATTCTTCGTGATAAATTAAACAGCTCAGTACTGAGTGGTTTAGGCACTAATCCAAGGATAGGTAACGGCTGACTGGAGGTTAAACTCCACGCATTCTGAACTTCGGCACTAAATGGAAGTCAGATAGGATTATGGATGCGAACACCTTGAAGTGCAGACTTGTTCATTACCGACTCAGTCCGTCCCTCTTTACCTTGAGCTGTTTGCAGTTGTCCTTCTGTTTGTTTGTTATTCGCCAGTCGGCCTTCGTGCCTTGTGTAATCTGAGCAACTGCCACTGATTCTAAACGAGCAAAATGTATGATAATCTTTGCTTTTTGTGTCCACATGTGCCGAGGGGCTCTCGCAATCTTGCCCCGCGGCCTTCTGTGATGCTTTTGTGGTGACCCTGGGCTGGTTGTATAATAGTGTTGTGTCATGCGACAGGAACAGTACTGTGATGTGTCTGCGTGTCGAGCCCCCATTTTTTGACACACATTCATAATATATCGTGTTATCTGTGATTGTACATCAAGTTGCACAAACCCTGCAAATAATTTTTGTAGTTTACTGTAATTTAAATATTTTAATAACAGTAATGATTGAAATATGACCTGTTGGTTGCTAACCGTGGATGCCGACGGGGGGGGTAAAAAGACAGGCATCTGACCCTGCCCTTGGTTCTTTTTTGGAAACAATCAAATTTGAAAAGAAGGAATTTATAATACAAAAAATAAATCTTTACAACTGCTCTTTTATGAGTACTCTGGGTCGAGCAGGAAGGTTACATAAGTGTGTAGGCAGTTCTCTGCCCCCCCTCCTGGAAGAAACGCTGACGGTGGCCATGCGGTTGTGACTGCATGGACACGCGCCCCTATTCGTGCATTGTTAGTTGCACTTTCTGGTGCAGGTGTACCAGACATCACAGGGCTACTTCGTGGTGACTCCGGAGAAGAGGCGGCGCGACTCGTCCTCTCACCAGCGGCGCCACAGTCGCACCGTCGCCTCTGATGACTCGCGTCCGATGCTCATGTCGACAGAGGAGGCCCTGGCCTATGTTCACGGGGAAATGCAAACAATCAGGGACGGCGCTGTGACTCACCAGGCGGTGCAGACCAATCTGGCCGACGTCATATGTGGAGGTGAGTCGTCTCACATCACATGAGCTGAGAGAATGGAGTGGGAAGGAACCAGATTCATATTCAGGGGGTCACATATCAAATCTCAGTCTGGAAACTGGTAATGCAGACTGAGTTTTACGTGTGTTATTCCTCATTCCTTCCAGGGAAATGCCAGAATGTAGTGTCACGTAATGGGGTGACTATAGACGGGGCTTTAGATTGGTAATTGGATTTATAGAACACTTAGAGAACGTAACTACAAGTAACTGTAGCGCTACCGCTAATTGACACTCTGCAGTTCACTGCAGCACGTACTAAATCTACTCAGTCTGCTGTGTCTTCGCCAGTCGGAGCCTGGTAACGGCTGCAAACCCCGTAGGTCCCTGAACTTAATGTTTACGGCTTCACGTCCTCGCTGGCTGTCGTCTATCTCACTACTATTTCCTACTTTTCTAACTGCCGCCTCAAGACTCTCTTCTAATGACAGCTGGCCCTTGTTATATATCCTCGACACGGACCGCACAGAGAACACCGCTTCCAACAGCTCTTCTGTTGCGTGCGTGTCACTTGCAGCCATTACCTAGCATTGGTTGTTGTATAGCTGCTTAGTTCGCGGTCGTTGCCTAGCACGGGTCTACATGCCACACCCAGATAAGACTATTCCTCTTTCCAGTTCGTTTTAATCCAGTATTGACTAATCATCCTACTGTCTGACACTGTACATTCTGAGCTACAGACAGTGTCGATAAATAAATAAATAATTTTAAAGAGAAAGGGTTCGGGACAGAATTTCATCGCGCTGTGAGTGAGAGATTTGGCTTAAAATTCATTTGAAAAGAAAGGCAGTTTGGGAGTATGAATCCTCGTCAGAATAGGAACCTCAGGTCACTTATCATGTCTTGTAGAGCGCTTTAGCGTGCAAATGTGTGCCCAGACGTTGCGGAGTGGGACACGCGTTCTATCTGCAGTGGGCTTCTAGACACAGCGAGCGTGCCTCTCCGCTCACTTTCACAATATCAGATGTGCTGAAGTCAGCGATGATACGTTGATGATTAAATGAACCATAAACGTGATTGTGTGTGACTGGCATAATGACCTTTAAAATGAGCATATTTCCTGAACACTGGGTGTCACCTCGTCTTCCTGCAGTCGCCAATTGAGCTGCCAGTGCGTCACGGTAACTCAGGTTGTTGGGCGTCTCGTGACTGTAAGATGGACGAGCATTCAGTTAGACAGGATGTACAAACAAGGGATCATGGGCCCTGTGAGACGACGGAACACTTGCCAGAGTAGGACTTCGGACCGAGATTTGAACCAAGGGTCTCTGCAATACGAAACAGGATTGCCACCCACACGACGAGCTGCGTTTCATGCAGTTGTTGCAGAAACCAGTTGGCTGTTCGGAGCTGCAGTTTAGCTTTAACGGTATTTAAGAACTCTGTTTTCATCGCACGGAAACGCGATACGCTCTTTGTGTGACTCCGTGTAGTTTGGTAGATATTTACCAACGTTTCGGACGAATCTGCGGCCTCCATCTCCAGGAGTGAAAATACTCATCACATCTCAGAATGTAGTAATCCTCATAGTTCACACTGAGAGCCTCAGATCTCACTCCCGTCTCCGCTTAAGAGACCAATGCTCCCTAGGGAAATGATCGCTGTTTATTGTGAGAACCATACGGAACACATAAATACACTGTCCGGGCAGAATGCAGAGACTTTCTATATATAAGAACTCAGTCCGTACCTCACAGGAATCACATTACGTCTCCGCTACAGAGCCCAGCCGGTTAATGCTGTTTGGGTAAACAGTCGCTGTTTATTGTGAGAACCATACGGAACACATAAATACGCTGTGTGAGCAAGATGCACAGTTTTTTTAATACAAAAACGGGTAGTACGTATAGTTAGCGTTGTGTTGTAATAGTTGAAGTAGGGACAAGATTTCATCATTTGGACGCGAGGTATGTGAAACATACCGGCAACCCGCACAGCCTACTAGTGATGGCATCTCCGCGCTGAAACTCCATGTAACCTTGAAACAGGCTAGCGTTGAACATGCGGAGCAAGATAAAAACGCCTTCACCGATTTTAAAACCGAAACCACGATCGAAAGTGATTAAAGGGCGCAGGGTACAGAAACAGGATAATAGAGCTGCTGGCCTGCCACAGCTAACAAGTTAGGAAATGTACGCACGCTGTAATAATCCTTGTCCATTCTCCGACTTTTCTTGAATTTCCTCTGAAGCCGTAACACCTAAGGAAAAACTATATTGAACGTAAAATGTTCGTACAGTTTCTCTGCAACTTTTGATTAATACTTTTCTTTCTTTTACGTGGAAGTAGGAGGTTCACCCAAACTTTTGGTAATCACCTACCAGAATCTAAGGTGACGTAACCCCGAAGCTTGCAGCGTGTGATACGTCACTGCTGTGAGAACTGCTTGTATTACGTTCTTTTTTATTTGTCTTAATGTTACTCCCACATTTTGCCTACCTTCCCTATTTTGAAAAAAAGAAAATAAAGGAGGTTTATGAGATCACTTTGCTGTCTGTTGTAGGTTTGTTTTCGTTTAGTTACATTTTTAAGCAAGATGAAATTTGATTTTCTGTAGTTCCATGTATTTTATGTGCTGATGTATTAATTTTATTCATTTTATATTCCACTTTTCCTGTGTTGTAGTTCATGCTCTCACATTATATGTTCTTTAAAACGTGCTTGCTGAATTTATTTTCTTTATTAATTCATTTATCCTTGTTATATTTTACAGGTTTTCATTTTTGGTTGTTGGTTTTTACATTTCCATTCACATTTAAACATTACCTATGCTCTGCTTTGCACTGCTCTTCGTATCGCTGGGATTCTGGACTGTGCCGATTGTCTGCGGTTCTGAACAGAAACTGGATCTGTTCCATGTGATGATGAGCGCGATGCAGATTGCAGGACACTCGGATGATGACAGGGGTGCAGAACTGCTTCTAGCTTTGATACAGCCACTGGAAGAAATGTGTGGCCACAGACAGGAATGCATGAAGCAGCAGAACTTGCCATGGTGACAAGTACACTCACCAGCAGAAGTGTGTGGCCATTTGACTGTTCCATGATTGTCACCATTTAGTGTAGTCATATTTCTTACCTCAAATAGAGAAACTGAAAGAGGTGGAAAAGAATGTACATAGCCAGAAGCGAACAGTGGGCCCCCTGCTCAGTGTTTGGCGGGCAGAGTGTCTCCAGCGAGAACAGAGTTACGTGGCAGTGCCCATAATTCTGCCTGCCTGATGCTGGCTTCTCAGGTTAACTGCCAGGCGACTTGACGTGAAAATTGTTGTGGACACAGTGGCCCTGAAGCGGACCTTTTGCTGAGTTTCTTCAATTTTATGCTTCTAATAACATTCTCCCATTGCCTCAGTGCTTGTCTTGTCTCACACTGCCCTCCTAAGATGTGTGATGGCAGTGTGTTGTTACATCCTAATTTTTTGAGTTGAGGCTTTATCTCTGACCTGGAACTTTGCTGGTTGCAGAGCGAGGAAGTTATTTCATTAAACAATTCTGTGGAAATTGCCTCAGAAATTGGAGGAAGGGCATTGAAATGTGTCCATAAATACAGGTAACTTTAAATGTCATCACATAAAGTAATCTTGACTATGTAACATCCAAAAGTCACTTCTGTGCTTTTGGAGATAAAGCGATCAAAACGAAGCTGCAAGTGTGTCAGACAAAGTAGATCGAGTGTGTGATAAGTGAAGAAAATGGAACTCCAGAGAGAGATGCCTTTGACTGCAATCCCAATGGAAATTAACTGCTCAAGAAACAGGAAAACATGAGGAGCATCTGCATAACAAGTTTTCTCCGAGTACTTCGGTTTCTCCTGCGAATCTTCATTCCACCAAATTCTCCAACCTCATAATCACCCGGGACAGGCTACAGTAGGCCAATCAGTGGCCGCCGTGCCTAGTGACCCAGTTGGACTCCACCCCCCGCTAAACGAATTAATCTGCGTAACATGACCTCACAGGTTGCTGAGCACACAGCAGTAGCAGCAGAGAGCATATGGGACATCATTTGTTATGAAACCCTAAACTCCAGCTGACAGAGATGATGATGTCACAAAAAATTCAAGTTCTTTTAAAATTCTCTTCTAGGGAATCCAAATGACAAGATCATGTATGCACGGAGCACAAAGAGAAGTTCTAGTTTTCCTGTGTCTGGGCGGCTTGAACGGCGGCATTCTCTGCGTTTGTTTGGTAGCTCAAAGCGCCTGTCCAGCTCATTGACTCGCTGTGGCTCAATGAGGCACATCAGCAACAAGCATCTGCTTGGCTGTGACAGTTCGAGCTCAACCGAGTATCCCAGCACAGACTGCAGTAACGGAAGTAAGTTGCAGAATGTGAAGGCAGTTCCACAACATCTGGGTAAGGTACCCAGGCTTTAGGTTCACTATTTAATCATTTAATTGGTTTTAACCCTCTCTTGCACCTGTTCTGAAACCCCACGGTTTATCTTAGTTACTTACCCTGGGCTGTAGAGCCATCGAGGAACCTTGGCCTGCCTTCTGGTATCTATTCCTGTTGCTCCTGCCTGGAGCATAGGGCATCCCTGAAACACTTCGGTTTCTTAATCTTAGGCAGTAGGTAGGACGATTTGGACAGGGAATCAGCCTCACGCAAAGCCACTAGCTACACAGGACAACACAGACTTCCATGCCTTGAGTGGGATTCAAACCCATGATCCCAGTGTTCGAGTGGGTGAAGACATTTCATTCCTTAGACTGCATGGCCACTGTGATCGCCTACCTTCTGATAGATTCCCATTGTTTGTTGTTATTTCCCTTTTGCCCCCTTCAGTTTATAGCATTTTTTGGTCATTATAAATTTTCCATCTGACATCCATTGATATGTTTTTTAATGTATATAGTTTGAAGAGGCTAGGTTGTTAGCCTCACACACAGCCTGGAGGACTGGGGAACATGCGCCCCCAGTAGCGCAGCTCCCCAGGTCTAGGTTGTTAGCCTCACACAGCCTGGAGGACTGGGGAACATGCGCCCCCAGTAGCATAGCTCCCCAGGTCCAGGTTGTTAGCCTCACACACAGACTGGAGGACTGGGGAACATGCGCCCTCAGTAGCGTAGCTCCCCAGGTCTTGGTTGTTAGCCTCACACACAGCCTGGAGGACTGGGGAACATGCGCCCTCAGTAGCGTAGCTCCCCAGGTCTTGGTTGTTAGCCTCACACACAGCCTGGAGGACTGGAGAACATGCGCCCCCAATAGTGTAGCTCCCCAGGTCCAGGTTGTTAGCCTCACATACAGTCTGGAGGACTGGGGAACATGTGCCCCCAGTAATGTAGCTCCCCAGGTCTAGGTTGTTAGCCTCACACAGCCTGGAGGACTGGGGAACATGCGCCCTCAGTAGCGTAGCTCCCCAGGTCTAGGTTGTTAGCCTCACACACAGACTGGAGGACTGGGGAACATGCGCCCTCAGTAGCGTAGCTCCCCAGGTCTTGGTTGTTAGCCTCACATACAGTCTGGAGGACTGGGAAACATGTGCCCCCAGTAATGTAGCTCCCCAGGTCTAGGTTGTTAGCCTCACACACAGCCTGGAGGACTGGGGAACATGCGCCCCCGGTAGCTTAGCTCCCCAGGTCACCAGGCCTTGAAATCACTGCACTGCTCTACAGTGAAGCAGTAACCCAGGGAATAGAATTTGTGAACTCTTATTCAGGTTCAATGTGTCTGTACAGCTCCTGCACAGTCCTCTGTTTGTGCCCTGTGTGCTGCTCCTGCAGATACAGGCTTCTCTTGCCAGCGCAAGGAACAGGCATTGTACAGCACATCCACTGATTGGCTGGAGATGCTTAAGGACTTTATGGACATTTTCCAGGGCAGGAACCCTAGAGCGAAGCATGTGATGGCACTTAAGCTGTATTGTTATACCACTGCAAACTGAATGTTTGTCGGGACTTTGTCTAAAACATCTCTGAGGGTGTGCCATTGTTGTGTAGTGATGTACATCATTACATTGTCATTAGAAAGTTACTGAATCCTATTTTGAACACCTGATGTGAACCAAAATCATCCATCACACTGGAAAACGTGCATACTTACCATGTGGCATACCCTCAAGGATGTTCTATACAGGCAGTAACCTACTCAATACTAGAAGTGCTGATGTTCACTGTCAGTGAATTCTGACTGAATACAATTATTGTAGTTTAGTGAATTTGACTGCCTGTAAACAGTTGATGTCTCGAGCATGGTTTGAACCACATACATTCTCTGTATAAATGATTCCATTACTGCTGAGCTAAACTGTTCAGTAATCCTGCTAATGTTGCCTCTTCCTCATAATCATCACTGTAATGCACCCTGCAGGTGCCCCACCTGGGAAGTGGGTGCTTTGCCCTTGCCTGGGTGGGAAAATGCCAGAAAGATCAACACTAACCCTATCTTGAGGTAGTAGACAAGGAGTGGCAAAACTTACTGAACATCAGAGTCGCATGTGACAATTTTCAGAAATCCCGGAGCTGCGAACAGATGCGCATCTTTTGGCATAGATGTTCTGTGAGCTGCATGTTGCTCATGAACCACAGTTTGGCCATGAATGCGTTAAACAAACAGCGGACATATACGAGTAGACTAAAGTCAAAAGGCATGCAGAATGCAGAACTTCACAGCCTGCAGCCCTCAAGCAGGCAGACAGACATGCCTTTCCCCTTCACACGCTGCTGCTCAGCCATCGCATTGCAGTCCTGTTACGCCATACCGATCCTGCCACTACTGAGTCATATCTGATCCACACTGGCCCACTGTGATTTTTGTCTTTATTTCGTCTGTGAAGGTGATTTCACGCACTACTGAGCATACACAGTGGGGTCAGCCTCTTGGACCGTTATCACTGTGCGTCCAGTTGAATGGGGATGTACATTCCTTGAATCTGTACACCCATCAGTAACTCTTTAGAGCAGAGCGGGAACTACCCTGGAGACACACACAGCATGCCCTTGCAAGACATTTTTATACCCGCCTACCATACTCCATGGTGTCGTACAGCAGAAGACTATAATATTGTAACATGTTGCGCGACTGAGAACCCCCCCCC